TCTTTTAAAGTATTTATCTACTAAAAACTTAACTTTTTAGGAATCTCTAAGTTTTTTCTTGATTCCATCAAGTTCAAGATATGAACAACATTTGACTGTATACATTAAATATATTATAGGATACAAATATGAATCTCAATTCATTTCAGTGAACATATCTTGTCTCTTTATAATAGTCTCTTGATTTCATAAATATTTTGTACCTCCCCAACATATATTAATGATATGCTAAAATATAATAAATATTATATCAAGTAACATTAATTCCGTTATTATTTTCTCATTGTGTCATACACATTTGGATCTCTTCAATATACATCAATTATCTAACGTAAAAAATAGATATGGTGCTGCCTGATATTGGGATGCAGTAAATATGACTGCATATTGTTAAAAAAAATAAATATGGCTGCATATTGTTTAAAAAATAAATATGACTCGTTATCATAGGAAAATAATATAGATGCCTATCCTTAAATTATTATCAGACGGATAAAGTTGTCTGCTCAATGATGCGTGTCACAAAGGTCAAGGACGATGTTGAGTTCATCACAGGAGTCGTGGTTGAGTTGACAATAGTGGAGTTGAGACAACCGAGATGTACCAGAGGTTCCTGGACAAGAAGCCCTGAAATCAAGAAATGGCTTTATGAATACTTAAGGAAAGGATCGCACGGGTCCGTGAAAAAATTCTGCCCAATGAATTTTTCTCATTTTTACATATAACCTTCCTAATGTCAATGATACCATTATATCGAAGTATCAAGCATGGTCATCAGGCTTAATATGTTTTACGGTGTGACCGTTGGGGCGAGCGCAGTTTATTTACTATCATAAACCTACACATGTACTGTCTAACATTCAAGAAAAAGAAAGCAAAAAGAATAAAACAAAACAATAAAAAAAAATAATTTCCCAAGCATCGAGATCGAGATTCCAAACTTCTCGGAAGTTTCCGACAAAATCGGAAATACCCGAACCGTTGAAGTGACGAAAGTATGACGTCAGATAAAAAGTTCTGTTGACTTAGGACGCAAACGCTAGTTTTATGGAAAAGAGATTGCATTAAATCGTTCTTTTCAAGTAAGTTGTTGCTATGTTTTAGCCACCATGTTGCTATGCACCGCAACATGTTTTCCGAGTTTCACGGAAGCAACCGACATAACTTCGTCAAAATTCGTAAGATTCCGGTGACGTCATTTGTATCATTTCCGAAGGGCAAGGTGAAGGCCGGTGTTGTGGCATAGGGGTATTTTTTTGAATAAGGTAAGGCAAAATCATTTCGTTACAATTTCGGTAAGAAACAATGTTCCTTTAATTTTTTTTACTATTTTTGATTTATTCGCGCAAAGGACATTGGGTAGTGCAGGAATTCTGGGAATGTTGCACAGAGAAATTTGGCTGACGTATGTACAGATTTCAATCCGAATTTCCTCTGTTCATACACGTTAGTCTATTGAGCTCGCTTCGCGAGCGTCGCTTCGCGACGCTCGCTGCGCTCGCTATAAGGAAGTTATGGTTGCCATGGTAACCACCATTTTTTAATCTTTTGATATTTTATATGAGGTGAATGTTTTATATTGCCATACACGCAACAAAATTGAAGCAAATTTAATATTTCCCTGCAGATATTTAATAATATGCTTTATATTTATTGAAAATAAAAATTGTTTCGGAAACTATTGATAAATGTAGCAATGCCATTGTTTTGGGGGGAAGTATTAATTGTAAATTTGCAGTAATATTTTCAACTCAATAGCAGTTTTTAATGTCTAGACAAAAAATTACCCAATGAATTTTCCCAAAACTAATATATGCTGTAATAGTCATTATAAGTGACTTATGGTTAAAATATGAAGTAAGGTAATCAGATTAATTTTGAAGCTACCCGCATTTCAGTACCCCCCCCCCCCCCTCCTAGAATATTAAAAGATTTCACAGATTTTCATATGATGGTTTGTTGTTGGACCTTAAATATGCATAATCTGTTTAAAGACAATAAAGGCCATATGTATAGATAAATAAATTCTTTTTCCTCTGAAAATCTGGGCTGGTGCTCATTTTATATGTGAAGCACAATGATTTAATTATCACCGACAGTGGTCACGAAAGTAATAACTCTTTTTTCAAACTCAGTTTTTCATCTCCAAAACATTCATTTTGTCATTATATCAGTATAAATAAATAATATATTAAAAACCAGTGCACAGTCCTCAAAGGCCTTATTCTTCATACTTTGAACACTCAGCGATGTTTCTTCTTAGTGACCTGGAATAGGGGGTGGGGGGTGGGGTGTTCAGACATTTGAACACATTGAATGAAAAGAGGTAGTTTTATAAAACTTGTAACTGCATTACATTTTTTTTTAAATAAATGTATTCATCCATAAATAATCTTATTGGCCAAATTATAGTAATAATTATTCTAAATATTCACATTTACACATATTTTTCCTTCCGATTCTTTTCAAGTAAGTACATTAAAAATTTTCTTTTTCTCTCTACATGGATGAGCGCTGTCTCCATTGTGACGTCATAATGTCACAATTGACGTCAAAACTATAGATCTACTGTTTTGATTAAAAAAATAATCATTGATTGAAAGAACTTTCTGTCGCTTTATGATATATGCTGGAGTGAAACATCTATATTCATGTTCATGTGATTAAAAATAAAACATTTTTCAAATGTATTCCCATAAGCATGATGAGTTCACATGTTTCTTTTATTTATTTATGTACATATTTTCCCTGGTATTCTTTCAGATGAAGTGTGTTTCAATACGGCGCATAAAACATTTTACAACAATCGTTTACAATATATGTGCGACGATCATTCAATGTTTACACGGTCAATGTCACTGCTGAAAATGCTAAAGATTTTATAGGAGAAAAAAAAAGTCTCTGCGATATTTTTTTAAAGATATGTCTTCTAGGCATAAGTAGTCTTCGCCGTAACACGTTTATCAAAATCGCCTTCGTTCATCAATATTTATACATGTATCTAGTAAATCACGCCGTCTGATTCTCTTATTGGAAATTATCTATACACAGATGTAGATCCTACGACGGCGTATTAGTGCCATTTTAACAATGTAGAATTTTTTTTTAAATCGTTTGTACGATTTAATAAATCGTTTGTACGATTTATTAAATTGTACAAACGATTTACTAAATTGTACAAACGATTTATTAAATCGTACAAACGATTTACTAAATCGTACAAACGATTTATTAAATCGTACAAACGATTTACTAAATTGTACAAACGATTTACTAAATCGTACAAACGATTTTAAAAAAAAATTCTACATTGTTAAAATGGCACTAATACGCCATCGTAAGATCCTATGATACACAACAATCTTAAATAAAATTCTAATTTTAAAATGAGGATACAAACCCCAAGAAATAAATCAAATTTATTTTTAATGAAATAGATTTCAATGTTAATAGATATACAATAGATAGACGTGTCAAATCGTAAAACATGCACGTAGATAAAAAATATGATCAACGCTCACCAGCACTCTCAGTGCATCGTAACAATCTTTAATATTTTATACTTTCTCTACTTTGAACCCCATTTGTCATGAGCGCAAACATATGACGCTCCTTATTCCGGAAATAGTTGCAGCAAATATTCTTTTTTTATTCACCAAATGACGTGATCACGTGACGCCGTGCAATAGCGTCCTTAAAACTAAAACATTTTCGCTATCTTTTATTCATTTTTTTTTTCATTTTCTTAATAATCAATTGCTACGATGTTGTGGAATTTTATGAATTACACATCCCAAACTAAGTTGCACTGGTTCTGAAAATTCAGCTTTAATGATGATTTTTTCTTGGGAGGAGAATTTTCCTACCTACCCACTGACCAACTTTTTTTCATTCTGATTTGGGAGAGTATAGTTAAACATTGCTGTGAACCAACTTTTATTTGTGTGTGAGAAAATTTAGCATAGTTCGCTAGAGCCTCGTCATCATGAATATTTCTCGCCATGAACCGGTCCTTAAAGTCTCTCTTTCTATTAACAAAAGATCAAAAAAGCCTCGATCGCGAAAATTAATCATCGCAAACTAGATTACCCCCAGTAAATTGTGAAATAAAGTTGTTGCAAATAAAAGTTGGTTTACAGTATTTCAGAGTTGGCAATACCTGCTATACAAGCTGTCATGAGACTTGTGACTATCCCTCCTAACAGAGCTCGCAGTACAATGTGAGCCAGGTCCCCCTTCCTGCTGGGCGCCATGGGACTCAGAGCCCCTAGCTGGATCCCTATAGAGCTCAGATTGGCGAATCCACACAAGGCATAGGTGGCTATGATCTCTGATCGTACCTGAAAATAGCAAATTTTAAAAAATGCATTAATTATGGCAATTATTAATAATTTATAAAAACTCAAGAGGAGGTGATAAGAAAAATATCTATAAACATCAAGTGCCTGTGTACAGAGCATTAGGTGCCTGTTTTTAAAAGAAATAGAAATGAAATTGTGGGTTATTCTGATTGTGAGGAAAATTTCAAGTATAAGAAATTTTTTATATCTTCTCATATTGCAAACTTAGGAAAAAATTAAAAATACAGTGTAAAAGATTAAAGTTAATATACTCACTGCCAAAATATGGCCAATGCACTGTTTTCTGTTCGTAAGATATGTTGATAATTCTCCATATGCAAGGAATTCGTTAAGGAAAGTCTTGATTCCGATTAGCTCTCCCACAATGCCACAGTCTTTCCATTCTACGCCCATCAAGTACGCCAATGGCATCAACACGTAAGAGCAGATCATCTGGGAAGCATTCACATAACATTATAATATGGTAAAACTTTATAGAATTCCAACTTTTTTATTATATTCATTTTTTGACTGTTTTAACATACTCATTTTTTAAATAATTTAATGCAAAATTCAACCTGCAAAACTTTTTTTATAATTCATTAAAGAAAATGATTTAAAAAAAAAAAGACTTGCCTATAAATGTTAATGAACATTTATATTGTTTAAAATTCTTTAAAAAAAATTTTCAGATCAAGTATTGATTTATCTAAGTCAATGTTCTTCAATTCCACCAATTCAATAGGGAATTTTATCAAATCCTGTGTCTATATAGTAAAACTTGTTAAGTATGAACACGGATATTGTGAATTAATGGATTCACTGCAGTGCTCCAAGTCGCACTTACTTTTAGGTTGCTAAATGGCGACCTAAAACTTTTTTTGGTCGCCATTAACAAATTTTTCACTCGCCATGATGAAAACGTGAATAACGCAATTAAAACAATGAACTAACATCCACATGTGTTATGTTTATATTAAATCAAAGATTATTGATTACTGTGACTAGAATCTTTTGCTAGTTGAAGGATATATTTTTATTAAATACAACCACCCTTTGTATGGTACACAGAAGAACACACGTAATCAGATCCTAGAATTAAAGTTTAATCAAAAGAAAATAAAACTTTGACAGTTGTTGAGACAGGACTTTGCCAATATTGTTTATCATGTTTACCTGTTTACTTACTACTAAGTGTCTTACCCATAACGCAGTCATTATCAATGCCGCCAAAACACTTAATTAATTGTGATATGCAAGCCATTGACCAAATACTTTAATAACGAGGTCAGAGAAACTCTAGAAAGTTTATGACATTTGGATGCCATTCTCTCAGAGACGATATGTATATACGTTTCTGGTTCTATCAAACTTAACTATTATAGCACGCTGTCATAAAATTACGTGATCCAATTCCATACGACGCTTTGTAAAGTGTGTTAAAGTGTATATCTTCAAACATTGTCTTGATAGAGAATCTTGAAAATGTAAATCTCGATACCGATCATAAAAAGATGGACGTTGCCAGCCCAAATTTTCTCAGTCACGAAAATGCGACTTATTTTAATTTCTAGTCGCAAAACCAATTTTTTGGTCGCAAATGTGACCGTTTTAGTCGCAACTTGGAGCACTGTTCAGCAAAGTTATTTGGATACTCAGTTATACAAATTAATGAATTCCTTATACAGATATTAAGAATGACAGATATTATAGTAAAGTAGTTTCACAGGTCCCAGCGCTACTGTATCTATACCTGGACCTACCTGGAATGAGAACTCGGGATAGCCTACAAAGCCACCAAACCAAGAGAGAACGGCATTCACAAACTCCAGCATAGCCAGGAATGCGATCAGGTTAGCGGCAATGTTGGCCACCAGTTTAATGGAAGACGAGGCACCAGCAGCTGCTGCCTCCAAGATGTTCCTCTCTGTCCTATGAAAATATAAATTTTAAATACTTAAAGTACCTCAAATTACCAAAATTACCTCAAATTACCGAAAGTACTTCAAATTACTGAAAGTACATAAAATTACTTAAAGTACCCCAAATTACTAAAAGTACCATAGATGACTGAAAGTAACATAAGTAATTTAAAGCATTCTTAATTATTAAACTACTAAGAGTACTATAAATTACTAAAAGTGCCATTAAATCACAGTGACTAAAGAATTTTTAGGTGCTATTAATTTTAAACTTGACACATTTTTTTACCCTATTTCTATTCTGAAATTTAAAACTAGGGGAAAGTGTTGCTATTTCGGACGGGGGTGTTATTTCGGACAGTCAATAAAGAGCTTTATAACTTTCTCTCTTTTGTTATTTATTATGATATTAAAACTTACTTCTGTAGATAATACATTTACAAAATGGTTTACAAAGAAAATCTTTGCGTGTGTCAACTCAGGTGCGACTTGTTGCCATAAATAAATGACCTTCACCGACTCTGCTGTGGATGACGCTAATATCCGTCTACTTTCAGTTTGACAGGCAAAATGGCGCACGGTTAAGATAATTGGTTTTTCTGCTAAAATTTATTTATACAAATTATAAATGTGAATAAATTCCATTGAAATTATTATTTTCTTCAATATTTCATAAAGAATTATCTTGTAAATGCAAATAATTAACCGAAATTGAGGTGTCCGGAATTACAACACCTCTATGAGACACAGAAAACGTGACTAAAATTTGACCCATTACTGGCTTTAGACCTTTTATATATTCCGATAAACTTGCATTACTGACCATAGCTCGTTTTTTTTTTTTTTAATTTAAAACATGTAAATGAACTTTTAAAATGATTGTGTTATTTTTTTCCCCATTTTTTTTTAAGGGGGGGGGGGGTGATAAAGAGAGGGAGAGAGAGAGGGGGGATTGACTCTAGATCTGCCAGTGTAACATACCTGTACATGTGTTCAGTGCTTAATATTTTTAAAGCCTTCTACTTACAAAGTTCACATCATTTAATTTAAACAAAAAATAAATGATATTTACGTATCCCCTTTAATTATGCCATTCAATTAATTGTTTTTTTAAAAAAAAATAAACATGCAACATAATGTACATGTAATTAAGATGTTCATTTGAAATGGGTTTCTCAGACACTAAACATTTTTTTATGTATTACAGTTCCACAAAAATAAAAATGCCATCCCCAAATTAATCAAATTTAAAAAAAAACAAAAACATTTGGATTTAAATATAAATTGAAAACGTACTTTGACTCATGGTTATACATGTATAAATTTACCTGACCACAAGGTTCTGTAGATGTTATATACATATGTATTTGTTAGGGCTAGTCTACCTGGCAAAAGATATTCAGGTGGGTTTTTCTTTTCGAATTCCTCATTTTCATTTTTTATTCCCCGATGTCAAGCAATATCTGACACTGAGAAAATATATACATATTGAGCATCTGAAGCATGATTTATATCCTTCTCTTAAATGTCTTTTTTTTCATTTAAAACCTTAGAATTTTTTTTACCAGACTACGATATACTTAGTCTAGTACTTTGATGGTTAAAAAAAATCAGTGTTCATATCGTTTTTTTAAATAAATTTACTTTGGTTAAATAAAAAATAACATTGAAAGAAAAAAATTAGAAGAAAAACCCAAGAAACAAATGTGAAGAAAGTAATAAATGAAATAATTTTATTATATATCTGGATATCATATGTGTGTTTGCTACACATATTTATCCTACATATTGTTCACGCTACTTATAATTTTTGCGGCAAATACAATTTTTTTTCTACTGAAAAGATTTTATATTTTATTGCATACATATCCCGACAAAAGCTAGTCAAAGTTCCCTGCTGTAATTAGCACGACCATCGTGTAATCTGTGCGACACAGCAGCCAGCAATACCTTTTTTACCCACTGTCCGACATTGTAACACCGTGTGTCCGAAGTTACAACACCACTGTCCGAAGTTACAACCTCCTACCTGATACTGTTTAAATGCGTTTACTAATGATATTATCTCAAGAAAAGAGCCGATGTACAACGAAAATAAGAAGCGGAAGGTTTTCTGCATCGAACGGTGTATAGCATACCTATATTAATCGGTAAATGCCAAGTATATCCGAAAAAGCATTCTGAAGTGTCCGAAATATCAACACTTTCCCCTAGTCATGGAATTTTACTTTTTTGTTTAAAATCTGCATGGATACACTTCCTTTTCAAAATGCCAAAAGTTATCTTTCCTTGTGAAGAAAACAAGGAGAGAATTTTACATATTGAAACTGATCTTCCAATTATAAAGTTTTCTAACATTGCCCATACTTTTCCTCCTTGTCAAGGTCCGAGGCCTTGCTGAGTTTGCTGGACTCGGTCTCAGGGTACAAGAGTTTGGACACTGCCAGGGCACAGGGGGCATTCATCACAGAGGCACACAACAGGTGCTCAGCTGATACCTATAAAGTCAATAACACGGGACATTGCTGAGACTGGGAATTGTATAAAAATTATTACAGCCAAAAGTACTTCATACATGTACATGTTGTGTACCATAATGATTAAAAGAACATTTATAATGTCATTTTTACAAGTCTTAGTATATGGAATATAATATGTAAAGAATTTATATTTTTCTATCTTTCAATTCCACATCAAAACTTTTTTTCCAAGAATACATAAGGAATTGGAATATATACTTCAATATGCATTTCAATATGCATAAAAAGTACCTGCCGTTTCTCAGACCTACAAAAGTCCATCAGAAAGTTGTTTCAATGAGCTGAAAATATTCTTGTACTTACTCCAAATGATATGTAAGCAGCTAGTACTCCCCCCGCAATGGTAGCGAACCCCCCAACCATGACGGCATGGAGCTCCGACTTTGTCATCAAGGCCAGGAAAGGACGAATCAGGATAGGGGCTTCCGTCTAAAAATAGAGTAAACCAGAAGAGCATATATACAAAGTATCAACATTTTGTATGACTTTTTTCTTGTACAGTAAAACTTGTCTAATCGAGATGTTGTGTGTAATAAAATCCTGCCTAATATGATGTTAACTTTTCAGTATGATCAATTGTTTAAAATATTGTCTGATCCCAAGTGTTGTCTAATCCCAGCCAATTTCTACAGAATAAGCATTAGCTAAGTGACGAGTTTGACCATAATTGCATTTTTTTCCTCCAGGAAGTGAAGAAAAAAATATTTAAAAATAAAATCAGAATATAAATCTTGTGTGGAAAATTCAAAGGGAAGGGAACCTACTTGTCCAATGAAAATATTGCCAGCAGCACACAGAGATTCGGGTGCAGATGTACCTAGACTGACTCTCATAACCCAGGCAATCTTATTGATGACAACTTGCATGGCTCCTATGTAGTACAGCACGGAGATAGCACAGCTGAAGAACACAATCACAGGTAGTACCTTAAAAAGAAAAAAATATCACACATTATAGAATTAGTTAAAGAAAGTTAGACTGAATAAATGTATAACTATCAGTTATAACAGATTTTCTAAATCAAAGGGGAATAACTCCCTGTTTATCAATTTTTTTTTATTTGTTAATTATGACAACTTTCTAGCAGATTGTGTAAACAAAAGGATGAAGCAAACTTTGATCAAAAATTATTGAATTTGAAAGTATCAATAAAGTATTAATAGTTACTAATTAAATTTCAAGATTTTTTTCACTTGGCAAAGAGACTTTTTTCCTTGAACTGACATAATTTACAAATGAAAAAGATAAAATTGGGGTTGTTTAATATGGTTAAATCAAAGAGCATCAAAGTCTACTTTTCTTAAAAAAGGATAGAGTGTTTGGGAAAAATATTTCTGAAAATAAAAATGAATTATGTTTTCAATCTGAAAAATCATGTTTGTCAAAGAATATTTCTTAGTAAAAAAAAAAAAAAAAAAAAAAAAGACAATAAAAATGTCTGAATACAATAAAAATGGGAAAACACTGAAAATGTGAATATAATAAAAATGTGAATTCAATAAATACCCACCATCATGGCAAATGGGTGATCTATGTATTTGTCTCCGAACACAAACTTGGTCCCTGTGTTGGTAAAACTTAGAAAGGTTTGAACCTGATTTCCCAAAAACTCAAACACTGCTTGACCAACACTCCATTTCAGAATCAAAGCAGCAAAAAAGAACTGCAGGGCTAACCCTCCAAATACTGGTCGCCAATTTACCTAGGCAAGAAAATGTGTAATTGACATAAATATCAATCAAAATGGTGGATATGCATCTATACAAGCATTTTCATATTTTTTCGTAACTTTTATATTTGTAGATACAAAATATGAGTACTATTGAAAGGCATACTTTCAGAAGTACATTGTATGCTGCCAGTTACAAAATTAAAATATTGTGTTCATTCAGTGACTGCTAAAACACCAATAATTCTGTTATTCCCAACAAAATTTTAACAGTAAGGCACTCCCATACGTGTCTTTATACCGATCAATAATTGTTTATTGGAGGGTATGGGGGTGATCGAGGGCTACATGTAACTGTCGTGGGGTGGAGCTTTCTTTTGTGGGAGAGGACAATCGAAGTTTTTGAAACTTTGTCCAAGCCCTCTGATATATTGTCAATAAAGTATGTTCAAAAAACTTTTGTGGGGTGGGAGCTTACTGTTGTGGGGTGGCTTACTTTTACCATTCAGGGAGTGGCTTACTTTTGTAGTTTGGAAGCTTACTTTTATCATGCTAATGGGGTAGAAGCTTACATTTGTGGGTTGTGGGTAACTAATGTGGGTGTGACTTACTTTTGTGGGGTGGGCGGAGCAGATGAGGAGGATGAACAGGAAGAAGACATAACCACAGATGGAGATCAGATTCCGGGGGCGATCCCAAACCGAGAAAGCTGTAACGGCAATGGCGGCAACAACCAATAGAATGCAAAACACACTGAAAAAAATCAATTCAAAATTAAATATATTTATTTGGAATTTCATTACAAATGTATTTGAATAAGCATATCAGTATGCAAACTTTGACTTTGACAGGAACAATTAGTACTGTTGATATATTTTTTATGATATCAAGATTTCTTTATAAACAGGTAATCTCGTAACATATAAAATTAATAAAGTGCCGCGCCACAGCATGATACGCCCGTCAAAAAATTACAATTTTCTTGAACAGTTTAGGTGCAAGAAAATCACATCAACCTTGATTCTAAGATTTCGATGATTTTTCCATTCCTTAAAATATTTATCCATCCCCTGTGATGTAGGCATCAATTATAATAAATATTACATCACTGATAGATTTCTGTGCTGGTTCTGTTAGACCTTGTCAAATGCCCATCATCAAATTAGTCTTAACAACTTAATCTATACCAAATTAATTTTGAAAAGAAAAGGCTGGCTATCAAATGACATATGTTATAAACTGACCAGCAGTTCTTCTGTCTAATCCCCAAAGGGTACAGATAAGGTCACTGCTTAATCAGAGCGACTGAGACAGCTAGCCTTCCTACATTGAACTCATTAATTAATCTTTAACTGGATGCTTGTCTACTCATTACTACCAAGAGATGAATGGGTCTGCACTATCTACTATAAATTTAATAAAATACTCAAAGATTTTTTTTTGATTGAGATTTAATGATATGTAATTCATATGGACGTGCTGATTCCACCCCACCCCAAAAAATTAGTTTTTAAATTAATAATATTACATAATATCAGATTAGTCTATTATGCAATATCAAATTAGTTTTAATTACTTTTCATCAAATTCATTTTAAAACTTAAGCTAGTCAACAAGAGCTATTTTTAATCAAACAGGCTTACCCATTTGCCCAATACTCAAGGGATATAGATAACACCAATGCTAGCTCCTCGCACTCAAAACCCATTAATTTCTCTCTAATTTGACATGCAATTTTCTGTTTTCAAAATTCTTCTTGACCAGTGCTTGATAATTACACTCATGGGAGAGGCAGGATTTCTCTGACATACATTATATTTGTTATAGATTGCTGTCAAGTATATGCTTAAAAAAAATAAGTATTTTCTTGATTTAACACTTTTTTAATAAGAACAGTGCAATACTCTTACATTACTTGGAATGCGTAAATGAATAGTAAAAAGACACATTTTTTTTTAAAAATTCACTTAAATTAAAGGTCACAGTGACCTTGAAATAGGTCGCGACACACCTTCTACCTAAGATGCATAAACTGGCCAAGTTTGATGATTGTAGATCTTATGGTTTTCTAGTTATGGGCCGGAAAGGATTTTTCCATATTTGGCTATAACTTCTTAAATAAAGGTCAGAGCGACCTACTTTTTGTGCGCGACACACCTTCTACCCAAGACGCATCAGATGACAAAGTTTGATAATCCTAGGCCTAGTAGTATTAAAGTTATGAGCCGGAAACGAAAAAGCTAACAGACAGACGGACAGACGGACGGACACGAAGCCTATAACATAATACGTCTCGTCTTAAGACGGGCGTATAATAATTTCTAAAACTACACACACACATGCATGTTGTGACCTACATTTGAATGACCTTGACCAGCATCTGATGTTGATCAAGGACAGTGGCGAGGGGGAAGACCAGTTTTTCCGAGATCTTTCCTCCAAATTTCTTCCTCACCAGCCAGATAGCGATACAGGTCACTGTCACCATGGTAATAGCAATGAGAGGTGTAGGGTCCTTGACCTGTGACTGGTGTGTGATCACCATGGCAGCCACAAAGTAGGCCAAGTACAACACACTCAAAGATACATATACCCCCTGCAAGTATAAATCATAAATTTGATTAACAATGGAAACTTTTGAAAGTACACAAGATAAACATTATAGAATCAGCATTAGATGTCAAAATTATAGAATGTCTTAATGTACAAATAATATCATTACAAAACCCAGTAATTTATATTTCTGAATTTCCTAAATGTTTCAGCATTTACTAGGGATGTCAAATCGGTCAATTTTCAATACTCGGTTACTCGGACGTTTTTCCGATCGAGTACCCGGGTACTCGGTAAAAGTGTAAATAAATATGAAAAAGTAAATTGAAAACTGTAAAACATTGTAAACTCTTGTAGAAATAAAGCCAGATGCACTGATAGAAGGCTTATCCGTAAATGTATTTCTGTTGTAATAATGATGAGCACTTCGTGCCCGACGAAATTTAATATAACAATTTTTTAAATTCAATTTATTTATCAGAAAACACAAGAAAAAAATCATAAGTTGCATGTTCACAGTGTTTTTGCTTAAGAAAATAATCTGCTCCGTAATTGTAATGTGACTCTTTGTCGCGTTTGACAACCAGGTATCAGTCGTCAGAGCTACAGTACGTACAGTATCAACTTGAACTTGATCAAGTTCTCCTAACAGAGCGGATTTACGATTTTCGTACACTTGTTCGATCCGAGATTTATATGGTATTACGGGACGGTATTCAATGATGGACATTAGTTTTTTTTAAAGTCTTTGCCTTCAACCAGTTGTATTGGCAGGTAATCAAACACAACCATATCAACAATCACACGTGTAATATCATCCGCTCTTTTCCCGAGAATTTACGGCTTCTCGGAGAATTGACAAAATTATCTAATTTATTTCAACATAATGGATCTTAAACGATGTTCAGTGAAAACAAGTAATAAAGCCAAACAAAAAATAAGGGAAGAAGGCAGCCGAAGGTGAGAAAAGCCAGCTACCCCAGGTAATTGGTCACGATAATTACTGTATAAACACTGCCACAGGCGATAACGGTCATTTAGAGTCGTAGTAAACCCTAATTACTGTATGTACAAGTGCAATGAGCATTATACGTTTTAAAACAGATTGTTTAATGCATTAATAAATAAGATTAAAAATATTCAAAAATATACATCCGAGTAACCGAGTACCGATTTTAGTATTCGATACTCGGACGTTCGATCGAGTACCCGGTTAACCGGGTACTCGTTGACATCCCTAGCATTTACTGATTACACTTCAAATTAAAGTTATTATTACTACTTATAATTTTTTTTTATTTTCTCTCAACATTTTAACTTTTGTAGACATGTTAACTTTCACATTATAAATTCCCCTTTTCTGATTAGTATCTCAGTTAATGTTAATTTTAACAGCCCTAACTTCCTGGATAAGCAACCTCAACATTTTTTATATATATATGTATAGTGTCTTACTTACCATTTTGATGTGGGAATGATTAGACTTGTAGAAGTTGGAGGCCCCGCTGTGGATTTTGACAAAGCTGTTAAACAACATGTTACTGCTGTCCTCAGAGGACAATATAGAGCTGCTGTCTGCTGTTCCATTGATGTCTCCTTTCTCTGTTTGGGGAAAAAAATATAGAAAATATGCAGAGTTCTCTCCCTTTAGAGAGCCAAAAGGTAAAAAAGTTGTTACAAGTCATAGAGCTAAGTTTTATTCTGAAGTGCATATTTTTTTACCTGAAACTTTTTATTTATCAACAAAATTTTGCATACAAAACTAAATGCCTTATGGTTTGATTACATTATTAGACCATGCTATGTTTAGTTAGTACTGAAAGAATGAATTGCAGAGCCAACCTGACTTTCAACAGTTCAATAAAAAAATTCTGTACTGAATTACATAACCACAAAAGACTTCGAGAAAATGATTAAGGGGGGAGGGGACAACATGACAAACCTTTTTCGATACATAGTGAAATTCCCTCTGGGACAACATCGTCTGTCGGAACTTCCGTGTACGTCGTAAGTAAACTGGCGTCAGATTTCTCGTACTTCATGGGGGTGGAGGAGATGAAGGGCTTTGACATTTTAGAATCCTGAAAAAAATTAATATATCTGGTCTAAAGAACTTTTGTTGATGAGTTTAGTATAAATACATAAATTGGTACATTAATTGAGGCTAACAAGGAAATCTACCACTCTTCAGAATGCATCATAAACAAATGATAAATGTTTCAACAAAAGATTCTGCATTCTCTGCAGCATTCAACGAATCTAACCCCCCCCCCCCCCCCAAATAAAAAACTCGTATTTAGAATGTGTATTTGAATTTTGTCAAACTGTAAAAATTATTTTTGTTTTAAATTTTTTCTGGCTTTCACATACTATGGACATACAAAAAAATTATGATATGTATCCTCACGAGCATAATGGACTTAATATTAAATTCATCTATTCGCCTAGCTATAGGTTGTTATTCAATACATCATGCCATAATCTGGTTTGAAGAACATTGTACGTGTACAATGGCATTTCTAAATTAAAAACATACACATTAAAATGTCTGTAAAAGAAAAGTTCACATATTATATTTCACAGTTTTTTCGATTTATTAATTTTGAATTTGATAAAATTAAAATAAAATTCAAAAAGTATATTTTTTTCTTTTCTATAAACATAAACCCTTTTCTTTGTCTTACCCGATGTTGTGTTTCCCTCTCTTTCCTAGAAAGGAAATGCAATTTTTTAGCGCGCAACGAAAGCGCGTTAAAGCGCGCCACGCTTAATCTCTTGATGATGCAACCAATCCATTGTCAGTGTATTTTTATTAATAACTCAAAAAATGAATGAATAACCTAATTCTTATAATAACAAATACTTGAAGCAAGTATTGAGTAGCTTAGTAAACATACGTGGTGTTAATCAATGTATCGCTAAGCATATAAACAATATTAGATCTAACAGGAAATAAAGGCATTTCATTTCTTCACACATGATTTGGGATTGTCTCTCGCTACCACATATGCACATGGCACGTCATGTTTCGTGAAAAATCAAGCGATCTAAAACAGCTAACGAAAATCCGACATGTGGAATTTATTTAGTAACCTTAAAATCAATATTATTCAACTAAATGAAATTTTAAAATAATTAAATAAGCATAAAAAACTTACTTCTTTCATCACTGGTTTCCACGTCCCGCGTGTACGTTCATTCACGGTTTTGTGTTTCCCTCGAATCGATAAATGTAAACAACCAATCGTGTGACTCGGAGATGATCGGCTTTTCTCGGTACGATGGTTTTGTGGGGGCGGATCACATTATTTGTGAAAAAGGATTTAACAGTTAACAATATTTACTGAATTGACATTCCATTTTTGGCAATATCTTTAAAGCTTTTTTGAAACGCTTCAAATCTTTAAAAAGAATTTTTTTCCTTTTGAAATAATCTGGAATATTGTTTTTTTAAATAATTTTTCTCATGATAAAAAAAATTGACAGACTTCAACATTTTCAAGATTATAATATTTCAAACAATTTCAATGACTTTAAAACTGATTGTACCTAGCAGACCTGTAATAATTTTAAACTTTGAAGCTTCCTCGGTTCAGACACCCTTGTCAATTGTGCTCTTTTTGACAAAGATTACCGACAGTTACCGAAATATTAGTCATTTTGGAAGAAATAATTAGATGTAAATGGCAAAAATATATGTCGCTATCCGTTTGTATGTGGGCTGCATTGCCAAGTTCATTCATTTCTGACCTTGATTAAATTTAAGGTGTTTACTTTAAGGGTTTAGTTTCATTGAGATCGAAGAACGAAATTATGGTCTATTATACACATGCAGATTAATAAATAAGGATGGATTTTAATGAATCACGTATACACTACAATACGATTACACGTATATACTTTACGATAAACACCCTGCCCTTTTGTACCCTTTATTTCTGTTATTGATTTGATCGCCTATAATCCTTGCTACAGACATATATTATTTTGATATTTGTAACACCTAAGGAATCAACAATGAATGATTCTTCACTTGTGATCAGTTAATCGGTGCATTTAAAGGACATACGATTAACATTCTAAAAATAACAAAAAAATCAATATAGTTTGTCTGGATTTACAATCAGTTTTATAGCCACAAACACCCTTTTGTTATTTTAAATTCAAAAGTCACAATTAATGTCTTTATCAAAGATAATGTTTCCATTCATACACTTCGGGAATACTAGATTGAATACATAATTATGTATATAAAAGTACCTCATTCCAATCCTCAATTGTGCATATGCATGGAATCTACAGGATTTAATATTTATAATCTTTTGCATATCCCTGCTTAACATAATAATATTTAATTTTCAGAAACAGATAGGTATGG